TCCCTCCTCTGTGCCCCTACCTAGGTTTTTTCTTTGAAAATCTTGAGGGTGCTATAATTCTTGTTTCATTCATGCCTCCTGCCCCAGGGCTTTGAGACCTGAATGTGTCTGTTCCATTTCATTTAAGACGTCACCAGAGTGATGGCAATGAAATGGCCCACCCTCGGCTGCGTGCTTCAGTGAGAGATCTACGAGCATCACCAAAACGAGCATCCAAGTCCACTGTTGAAGAAGACCTGAAGAAATTGATAGATCTTGACAGCCCAACACCTGAATCCCAGAAGAATTTTAAGGTATGTTAAAGAGAGAGTCTGTCATCTGGCTATCTCTTGTCACAGTTAAGTGAAATCTGAGAATACCTGAAGAGCAACGCACAGGTCCTCTTCTGATCCAAGTCATAGTTCAGTTGTTACAAAATAGAAATGTGTAAAGTTACGCCTTATAAGAATTTGATTATTGAGTTCATTGCTGCCTAGGCATATCAACTAATACAGCAAATGCATTACAATTTGGAAAAGGATGAAGGCTGTGAAGCTTTAAGACTTCTGTGTAGAAAATGCTGAGTGCTTTCAAAGCAGTCAAAGCTGAAGTGTTCATTCATACAGAGCTTACTCGGTTGGATGTTGCATTGGACTCAAGAGTTTCTCAGATAGGATCTTTTCAAGTCTCACCCATAACAGGAAAATAAAATGCCAGGCATTCCCTGAATTCTCATCATGGACAGAAAGTCATTTGTTACAGACTTATCTACTAGAGAAATACATTTGGGGAACAGTTTCATTATTACAGTCACTGCAATATTATTACAGTTTTGTGTGCAAATTTAAAGAGACTAGTATACCAAATTCCAAAGAACGTTTAGGACTGCTGGCTCATGAGAAATCCTATAGTGTTGTCTTATGCATTTGAATTGTTCTTCTCTGATTACTTCACTAGACAGTGACTTATTGACAGTATTGAAACTTTGCAAAAAGCACCCTTTTATGCCTCTAATCCTGTTACTGAACAAGGACCAAGAATGTTCCCTAAACTTAAGCAAATATTTATACAGAATAAATAGTTAGAAACGTTTCCTGATGTGTTTCAAAGTGTCTATAATTACACAAAAGTGCATATATTAATTTTAAAAATCCATCATTTTGAAGAGAATGTCTTGATTTCTACAGTCTTCGTGTACAGTCAGTGCTTAACAGCTCAGGCTCATCACCTAGAGCCCAAATGGTTTCCACAGCAACCATGCAGAAGAGAAAGCTGCAACTTCTTTCTTTTGCTTGTTAAAAACCCAAAGTGGCTTATTAAAACTTGCAAGTGCTAGGTTCCATATACAGATTATTTCAGATGTTACCTTTGAGGCTGGAGGGGAAAAAAAACCCTTGCCAATGGCAAGATATCTTTTTCTTAGGTTTGTGGTAGTTCTGAGGGGTGTGGGACATGGGCAATGCGAGCATCTCCTGTTGGTTGTTTTGAGCAAGGTGATTGTTCTTATTCCAAGAAATTCCATTCTGTTTAAAGAGGTGACCTGAAGACCATGAAAAGAGTGTATGTTCCCTAGTTTGTTGTTTTTCTGCTTTGGGGTTAGTGAATCAATTCTTACCCTGTTCTTTATTTCCTGGTGGCTGTAACAAGTATGTTAACTCAGGTTACACTTTTGATAAATTTCAGCAAGTTACTAACATTCTATCACACCAATAAATTAAATCTTTTCCATTTTAGAAGTAACTGTCATTTCTGCCCACTGCATGATTTATATTTCATCTTGCAAAAAAGTTGCTCTTACAGCATAAAATTTTTTTGACAGTTAAAAAAAAAAAAAGAAAGAGGATAATAATGCCCTTTATCAGTTCACTGCACAAAGACCAAATATCCTCCTCCTTCCTGTCTGTTGGGTGCCAAGGGCTTTGTTTGCTAGTAGAATTTGTTCTAGGCTGTGATTTTTTTGTCTTGTGCGTCTTTTTATTATCTTCCCAGCCTTCTTTATCTCCTTACCTACTACTTATGCGTTATATCTTCTCAGACACCCTTCTTTTTCTCTTCCCTCTGCTCTATTACCAGAAGACAATTCCTACCAGTATTGCCTCTGTTTCGACTCCATCAGATGTTCATATCTGTGCAACCTTTTAGTCTCAAGGTTTGATATTAACTGGTGGTTCCAGCTCCTAATTCTTTAACACTAAGTGAACTATACGACCCTAGAGTAAACACTGCTTGACTTAGCAGCTTTTTCTTTTTCTTTGCCACTTCAGGATGAATACTGGGAGTTTTCACTGAATCATAACACAAACCTGCTGATTGAGCTTTTAAATTTCAGAATAAAAAAGCAGCTTGATCCTCAATGTAACATAGTGACAGCTGTGTACCAGAAGTTGTAATTTCTATAGTGTTAACTGTATATGCAAGGTTCATACTGTGATGGGCATGTCCTGAGGGAGGCAATGCAGAAGGGAGAAGTTGACGTAATAGCAAGTTGGCATGGGACACGGCTTCTCTTTCCTTCCTTGTCTTTTGATGATAGCAGGTTTTTGAAAGTAATCTTAATTGTTTCTGATCCTTAATCCGTAAAAGCAAAACCTGCAGCAGTCTTTTAATATTAAAATTTGTAATGTTTTGGGAAAAAAAATGCTGGCAGATTGTCTTCCACTGTACAGTTCCAATAGTCCCTCCTCCACACTCTTCTCCCACCTCGTAGTGTGGGATTTTGATCACAGGAATAGAGTACCGTCTGTTTAAACATTTTTTCCTTTTTCTGAGAAGAAATAACTATTTTTCTGTGCAAATGAGCAACTCTTTATAATGTTTAATC